GTGTGACAGGCGGCGGTGCCCCAACTCCCCAATCAGCCCTGCTCTGAGCCCGACCAGGGGCTGCACCTAGGGATTGGGCCTGCCCTCTGCCACCCGGGAGCAGGCCTAAGCCAGCAGGTCATTATCTCCCGAGGGGTCCCAGACTGCGATAAGGCACAGGCCGGGCTCAGGGACCCCTCCCTCCCCCCCCACAAATTTTTGTGCACCGGGCCTCTAGTCCTATATAATAAAAGGGTAATATGCAAATGGACCGAATGGTAGAACAACCAAACAACCAATCAAAGCGTAATATGTTAATGATATGCTAAAGCTGCTCAATTGCTTGCTATGACATGCACAGACCACCATGGGGCAGATGCTCTGACTGGTATGTTAGCTTGCTGCTGGGGTCTGGCCCATCAGTACTGATTGAGATGGGACTGACACACCCTGGAGCCCTCCCGCGGTCCCTTCCCGGCCCAGTCATGCACTAGTGGGGTCCCTCAGTCTGGCCTGCGCCCTCTCTCAATCAGGGACCCCTCAGGGGATGTCAGAGAGCCAGTTTCAGTTTGATCCCCCAGGCCACTCCCCTTGGGAGGGTGCCAAACGCAGGGCTCTTCTGATCAGGACTAATCGGGCATGAGCCCACAGCAGGCACAATGAGGCCGGGATGAGCGGGAGTGGCTGGTAGGAGTTGCAGGCAGCGTTGGACTGTGGGTTTCGGCCTGATCCCTACAGGCCACTCAGAGGGACCCCACCAGTGCATGAATCTTACCTAATAATAGACAAACATGCAAATTGACCACACCTTTGCTATGCCCACCAGCCAATCGGATGAATATGCAAATTAACCAATCAAAGATGGCGGTTAATTTGCGTATGTAGGCGGCCAGCATTGATCAGAGCCTGTAATCAGAGCTGAGAGGTCCCTTGCCTAGGCCTAACACCTTTGCCACAGGCGTTAGGCCTGGGAAGGGGCAGAGCCAGCGATTGCGGGGAGCAGGGTTGGATCTGGCAATTGTGGGGAGCTGGGGGTCCCCTTCCCAGGCCTAATGCCTTGGCCAGAGGCATTAGGCCTGGGCAGGGGCGAAGCCAGCGATCACAGGGAGCAGGGACAGAGTTGGGGGTCCGTGTGAACTACAGAGGAAACACCTTTTCTGACCGCTCATTGGCTAAGCTCCCTGTATGCCACTGGTAATATGGGCAGAGCCAGCAATCACAGGGAGCTGGAGGTCCTCTGCTCAGGCCTAAGGACTCAGCCACAGGCGTTAGGCCTGGGCAGGGGCAGAGCGGAAGATCGTGGAGAGCTGGGGGTCCCCTGCCCAGGCCTAATGCCTTCGTCAGAAGCATTAGGCCTGGGCAGGAGCAGAGCTGGCAATCTCGGGGAGCTGGGGGTCCCCTGCCCAGGCCTAACACCTTGGCCAGAGGCGTTAGGCCTGGGCAGGGGCAGAGCCGGCAATTGGTGTGAACTACAGAGGAAACACCTTTTCTGACCGCTCATTGGCTAAGCTCCCTGTATGCCACTGGTAATATTCTTAGTAACTTGGGTAATAAGAATCCAATAAGGTGATCTAGGGTTTTTCCACCTCACTCCTGGAGAAAAAAAGGAAGGTCCACTGCTGGAGGGCTAAGAAATGTCATATCCTGCCCTAGCCCGGTTTGGCTCAGTGGATAATGCCTTGGCCTGCCGACCACACGGTCTGGGTTCAATTCTGACCAAGGGCATGTACCTAGGTTGCAGGCTCCTCCCTGGCCAGGGCCCAGGTCAGGGCTCATGCAGGAGGCAACCAATCAAAGTGTTCCTCTCACTTTGATGTTTCTTTCTGTCTTTCCCTTTCTCTTCCACATTCTCTAAAAATCAATGGAAACATATCCTCAGGTGAGGATAAAAGAAGAAAGAAAGAAAGAAATGACATATCCTATGAAAGACACATCTTAAAAATGCCTAAAGAAAGTTGTCATTTTTTCATGGTGAAGGGACTGGAGTCCGTGTTGATGAAAACACCTTGGTGGCTGCGGTGACTGACAGTGGCTGCAACAGCGGAGTGATGGGGCTGGTGCCTTCCCCTGATCAGCCCGGTTGCCTCCCACAAAGGGAGGCCAAACTGTGGCTTAGGCCCGCTCCCCAAGGGGAGCAGGGAGCACGGAGTAGGACATCCCCTGAGGGCTCCCAGTATGTGAGAGGGGGCAAGCTGGGCTGAGGGACGCCCCCATCCAGTGCACAAATTTTTGTGCACCGGGCCTCTAGTATAATAATAAAAGCGTAATATGTTAATTAGACCAGAAAGGCGAACATAACGATCTTCCTGACATCCTTCCAGACGACCTTCTAGATGAGCCAGGGCTGTGAGGGCTGAGGCAGCTGCTGTGGCTGTGAGGGCCGAGCCCCTTGCACGAATTTCATGCATCGGGCCTCTAGTGAACAACATAAACTGATGAACAAAAATAGAGCCTGAGGGGGTAAAATATTCTAGAATATAATAGAAGTAATCCTGTTATTTGCAGATTTTTAATATTTCCTACAACTTTTGTGATATCATACTATGTTAGTACAGATTTGGTAATATTATTATACTTAAAATTCTTTTATTCTTGAAATATTAATGTATATTGCATGTAATATTATTATATGTAAGATCATTTTTCTTGAATAATTGGTGTTTATTGCATGTAACATTATTATATTTAAAATCATTTTTCTTGAAATAAAAAAACTGAAAAAAAAGAGTGACTTCCACTAGTTTGTGTTTGTGTGATTGTACAGAAATATATAATTGAATAAGTATCATGTGACATTTTTGGAAAAAGCATACTTAAATAACACAAATTTTTGTACCTATATTTCCATATATAGATGTGAATAACCCATTGAGTACACAAACTATTAACAATTTGCTGTAACCTTAAAATGGCATTTTTCTTTATCATTAACCTTGAGATTAGTTTTGCTTTGTAAATGTGATCATCCCTGTGTGATTTTTAAAATTTCTGTTCTTCTTATTGAATATTTTATTTTATCTTTAAGGGTAAAAATTATTAAGGTAGACTTAACAATTAACCCACTTAGGTGATATGCTCATTCATATTTATCAGCATTGGTGGTAAGTAGCCAATTTATACCTGTACTCCCAATATTTAAAGAGAGTTTCCTTCCCTGTCTCTTATAGCAAAGTACAGATCAATGAATCATTTATAAGAGAATGTCAGTTACTCTATTTTGATTTGTTGTACTATGTAATAAAATTAAAACTAATATATGTAGCTGATACTAAGACTCTGAAAATTAAATAATTAGTTTGCAAGTAATTTAAAACTTTTATTTAAATAATGACCAATTTACAAGGGCTGTAACTACATTGTTGAAATACCTAAGCTGGTGATATATAACAACTGAATGCAATGAGTGAACCTTAAGTAGATCCTGATTAAACTTAAAACACTCTTGGCTGTTTAACCTCAAGGCAGTCAATAGGATGAAGGAAGTTATATCCTAAGTATGTGACTATCTCAACTTTTGTTGTTCTTCTCTTGTGACTCTGAGTCTGAATTCCCCAAAGAACAAATTTCTAGGGAGGACTGGATTATATCCATTTTGGGAAATCTCTATAATTTTAGACTTGTAAGACCTATCTGCATTTTATGTGTGTGTGATTTGAGGGTGTTATCAATGTTAAAAAAAATACTTACATTAACACTTACATTAACACTATTATGCCCATTTTACAGGTGATACTGAAGCATGGTAGCAATCACCTCGGGTAAAAACTGCCGTTTAATTTTTAACCCTGCTGTTCTGGCTTCTGTACTTATTTGCTTGCTAAAATAATAGAGAAGTTATTTTGATTTTCTGAACTTATATAAATCATCCCATTCAATTGAATACCCCATTGATTGTGGTTTTACTGGTCTTTCAAAACACTTTCCTCTGCACCTGGAGACCAGGACAGCACAATTGCTTTAATTGCTTCCGTGGCTCCAGAAAATGTGTTTCCATTGACTCAGTGGCCCCAAGACCTGAAACTATAATTAATCTTTGTACATAACTAACTTGCTTATTTTTGCTTCTGTAACAAACTGCTTTTGCAAACCAGGTTCCTCATTCCAAACCTCAAGATGTAATCAATACCTTTGTGATATTTGCCTTTATAAGCCTGATGTTATGGCCAGTTGGGGCTTCGAGATTTGGAGAGCATTTGCCCCCTGGTAGCCGCTGGCTCTGAAATAAATGTGGCTCCTTAATTGGACTTCTTGAGGCGTCCTTGTGTGATTCGCTGGGTACAATACAACAACACAACTGAGGCTTAGAGGGGTTAATCAATTTGCTTAAAGTCACATAACTAATAAGTGGCAGAGCATTTCGATTTAAATCCAGGCAGTTTAGCTCCACAGGTGGTCTTAAACATTAAATAACACACATTTCAAAGGAGTATGTCTAAAGCACAAAAAGCAGAGGTCAGATATAAAAAAACAAAATGAGCTCTCTAAGGTGATGGAATTTGATACATTCTCTCTTTTTTTTTTTCATCAAAACATTATTTCGCCATAGTTGTTTTAGACCATACATGCAGGTACAAAATAAAACTGTTGATGGTCAAAACTATCCCATTTGCTTCCCTTATCTCTGTGTTCTCCAGTCTTGGAGTGGCTTCACTCACTTCTTGGTTTCAGTTCATGTCCTCACCCCTGTTGTCTCTCTCCCTGTTTTTCTTCCCAGCAGGGATCCCCTTTCCCCGGAGCCCTCCACGTTCTCCTGGCCACACTCAGCCTCCCAGCCTAGCTCGCCGGAGCTTTTTACTTCGCTTGCCTCCCCTTCCCCTTGGAAACTCCCCCCTCGGGGGAACCCAGACCGAAACGCTGGAGTTGGGGAACCCGCCAGGAAAGCTGCCTCCGCAGTGTTTACCAGGCCGCCAACGCGTCCCCCGAGCCCTGCCCCCAGCTCCGCAAAGCTTCCTGGAAATGTCCGCGTTATCACTTCCCCGCTGCGGCTGGGGGCTGGGAGCGGGCGGGCCTCTCCGCCCCCGGCTCCCGGGGCGCCGCCGCCCGCAGTCCTCGCGCAGCCCGGCCATGAGAGTCCTCGGCGGGAGCTGCGGGGCGCTGCTGGCGTGCCTCGCCCTCGCCTTCCCCGTCTCGGAGGCAAACTGTGAGTAATCAATAGCGTCTTGTCTGCTTCTGTCCCCAGCGATGCCAGCCGAGCCGCCAGCCTTGCTCGAGTTTGTTTTCCAGGGCTGCAGCCTCCTAGAAACTTTCCAAGCCCCGACAGCCCGGGCGGATGGAAGCAGCCGTGGGTCTAGCGGGCAGCGGAATGGTGGGGCAGGGTCGGTATTTGCTCTGCGCTGGGAGCCCCGTGTTGCTGCCCAAAGGACCGAGGGAAGGAGCCGAGTAACACTAAGTGTTAAAGGAGTTAGAACACCTACCCATTTGCCCCCAGCAGCTGAATTTCCCGGTCAGAGAACAGGGATGAGCACATTCCAGCATAAAAGTAGGCAACCGAAGGACTTGTATGCATGCATATAAGCATAACCAATGGACATAAGACACTGGGGGGTAGGGGAGGCCGGGGGATTGTCAAGGGCGGGGGAAGGAGACATATGTAATACTCTTTGTAATACTTTAAGCAATAAAAAAAAAAAGTAGGGGAAAAGGCATCCCACTGTCTTCCCTTTGTGCCCGCGCCTGTCCCCAACTCGCACCTCCTGCTGCAGCCTTACCCCACTTTTGCAATTTCTGGACTTTGAGCTTGGTTTGCTTATTTCAACATTGACAAACGAATTGTTGTAGGTGAGTTAAATTTTGCATAGCAATTGGCACATATTATCTGACCTTGAAATCAAAAGGACTGTTAAACATCGTATTTCTTAGATCATTTTGTACTGAGGATATTTGACACTGAGTGCCACTGATCTGAAGTCCTGGCAGGAGTTTTTCGTCTTTATCTTTGTATGTCTAGTTCTTTAGGTTCCCGTGCCTGGACTCAAGGCACAATATTGAGTTTTCTCTGAAAAATATATGAGATGTATTAAGGCATTTGGAACATTTCAGTTGTCAGTTAACTCATTTGTTTTCTAAAGTTTAAGCATGTTCATTGATTAAAAATGCTTACTTGTACTGTTTTATTCTCAGGAAATGACTTGGGAGAGATAAACTATGAATTAAAAATAACTTTTAGGTTGCGTAAAGCTCTAATATAAAAACTTCAAAGAAGTAATTTCAGGAGAATTAAATAGGAATTTACTAACATTCCACTAGTTTTTATTACTGCTCACGATGAATGGAATATTTTAACATTCTAATTTAGAGGCTAAAACATTATTTGTTGATTTTATATTAAAGAGCTACAATAGCAGAACTTCAACACTCATACCCCTATCATCACTACTAGTAAGCCTGCATGTGGACCATAGGCACTTCCTTATTACCTATGTAGGCCATTAGGACAATCAGATATTCGTTTGTTAATTAGTGCTTTGGAGAAGAGAAAGAGGCAAAATGACTAGCCACACTTCCTGCTTGTCATCACAGGAATTTTCTCTGCCCTTTCTTTTTATAGAGATTGTTATATTTTCACTGAATCTAGGCAGAGTTAAAAGTGTGTGTGTGTGTGTGTGTGTGTGTGTGTGTGTGTGTGTACGCATTATATGTAGGCATTCAAACCATATGTATGGAGAAATACAAGTGTTATGTATAGATACTGTTAGATAAATTAATCCTACCAGGTTACATATAAAGGCCCTATAATCTCTTAATTAAAAAAAATAGGATAGTTTGCCCTGGCCAAGTAGCTCAGTTGGTTAGAGCATCATCCAGATACATCAAGATTGTGTGTTCAATCCCTGATCAGGGAACATACATGAATCAATCAATGAATGCATACATAAGTGGAATAATAAATCAATGTTTCTCTCTCTCTTCCTCTGCCCCCTTCCTCCTTTCCTCTCTCTGTAAAAATCGATCAATAAAAAATTGTTTAAAAGTTTAATTGGATTGAAAATTATCTTGGTTTACTGATGAGAAAACTGTGCTACAGGTGGAATTATTTTACTCTTTAAGATTTTAAATTTGAAATAGAATTAGAACTCTAAATATTTGATTTACAATTCATGTTTAGTCCATAGAAATATAGTTGATGTTTAAAGAAAATCAAATCACAGGTTTAGTTTTGAGAGAGTGAGAAATCATACAGTTCAACCTCTTTGTTTTAACAATAAATTGTTCAGAGATGTTAACTGACTTTCCAGACATTTCTAGACCATATGCAGAGAGAGAGAGAGATTTAAAAGATATACTGTCTACATATTTTGTCATTTCCCCTTATGGGCTGTGATGAAGAGAACTAGAAGAAAGGGGAGTCCCGTTTTGGCTGTGCTAATTTGGCCCTACGGAGACTTCCACTTCTGGATGGATGCAGTCCACGCTAGACATTACAGACTCATATTTTCCTTCTCTGTTTTACTCTTTACTAACTATTACTTTCATTGTTTATCCATCTTTGTCTTTACTTGAAGTCCCTTTATTTCAGAGTCCAAAATGTTGCACTGATGGAGAGATTTTATCAAGGTTAGGTTAGAGTTGGGGTTGGTGCTAGAAAACTTAGAAGCAATTTCTGGTATGCAACAGCACCCTATGCCATATTCTCTTACCACTAATTAATTATATGTAAGGAAACATAGTAATATTTTTCATAATAGACCTTTTCTGTCCACCAAGTTATAGATAAACTAGATAAACTAGAGGCCCGGTGCATGAAATTCATGAAGTCGCAGGGGTGGGGGGGGGTTCCCCTCAGCCCGGCCTGTGCCCTCTTGCTGTCCGGGACCCCTTGCTCCTTACTGCCTGCCTGCTCGCTGCTCCTTAGCACTGCTGTGGAGGCGGGAGAGGCTGGCTTCTGGCTGAGCAGCACTCCCCCTGTGGGAGTGCACTGACCACCAGGGGGCAGCTCCTGTGTTGAGCATCTGCACTCTGGTGGTCAGTGCGCATCATAGCAACCAGTCATTCCACAGTTCGGTTGATTTGCATATTAAGTTTTTATTATATAGGATGTTCTTTATGCATAGGTAATTTTCAAAATACTATGAGAAAAAATGTAAGAAGCCTGGTAATACATATATCAGTATTCTTTATTTACAAGTAACAGCAATGATAAGGGAAGAAGGAAGAAATGGAGGGAGGAGAAGAGGAAGAGAAGGGAAAGAAGGGGAAGGAAGGAAGGGAAGGGAAGGAAATGTAAGGGGAAGGAAGGGGGAAAGAAAAGAGAAGAAAGAGAAAGGAAAAAGGAAGGAAGGAAAAAAGGAGCCAAATGGATTTATTGGAAGGTTACTGAATGGCATGCTGAATAAACAGGTTTAGGGAAGCCAGGGACTGGGCATTTAGGTGTTCCATACAGTGGGAACTCCTGTGCTCACTATGTTAGGATCTGCCACCATATGACTCCTAATTGCCTTCTAGTCCTGTGTGTCTCTACTCATGATTGAAATTCCTACTCATGTTTGAGAGTCTCATCATTTGGGCTTAGCTTATTTCTGGAATCCTGTGATTGACACCTCACTAGAATCAGGTAGAGCCTGGACAGCTCCCACAATGCTGGGAAGGAAGCAGAAACAAGAGAAGTCTACACGTTCTAATTATACCCTATGCAACATACACACATGACCTTCTTTCTATTAACACCACCTGAAAGTATTTCAAATATTTGCACATATTTATAATATCATGTAAATAAGGAATATACAACAGAAAGTCCCTCCTGTTGAATATGTTTTAGTGATCATAACCAGAGAGGAAGGCTCAAGGCTGCCATTTCCTACTTTAGTATCCTTGGGTGATGTCTGTGCCTCCTCTAGTTCTGTCACAATGCCCTGTCAATGTGGTCTGCTTTATGGACAAAATGATACATTGTAGTGTACCGACACATATTATATGCCAAAATGTAATAATAAAAAAAGAGGGGAATATAGGTACTCGCTTTAGATCTTGGCTGTCTCTCTTGGAAGCTTGAATTGGTATTTATGAGGGACTTCATCCTTCACTACTCAATTCATATCTCGCTTCCTCTCAGGGAGTTCCTCATGCTTGGGTTTTTGTCTACTCCATGAGCTGAATGAACCACACCCTTCAGGAAGAATCTGAGCCCTGTTATTCCTACCAGTGGAAGGCTGTATCCATCTCTTCTTTTAGAATTTCTACTGTTTACCATAGTTACCCTGGAGGAGTAACACTCTTAACCCTGATTTATATGTGGCAACAACACTATTTTGCCTCGATTATTGTCACTCCAGAACAATCCTCTTTTCTTTTTCTTTTTCTTTTTTTTCAATGAGAGTAAGGAATTTTAACTGGCCATAAAGCAGGTTCAGCTTCTAATTCAGTGGAAAATATATTAGGCCCCCTTGTGAATGTATTCCTCCCTGGTTCCCCAACTTCTAGATGAGCAAAACTCAGTTATGAAGGAAGAAAGCAAAAAATTCAAGGATAGGTCTTTGAATTAGTTTCTTAGGTCTGTTGGAACAAAGTACACAACCCTCACCCTAGCTGGTTTGGCTCAATGGGTAGAGCATCGGCCTGTGGACTGAAGGGTCCCAGGTTCAATTCCAGTCCAGGACACATGCCCGGGTTGTGGGCTCAATCCCCAGTAGGGGGCGTGATCCCCAGTAGGGGCATGGAGGAGGCAGCCGATCAATGATTCTCTCTCATCATTGATGTTTCTATCTCTTCTCTCTTCCTCTCTCTGAAATCAATAATCTTACCTAATAATAGACAAACATGTAAATTGACCGTCCCTCTGCTACGCTCACCAGCCAATCAGGAGGATATGCAAATTAACCCAACAAAG